TGTATCCAGTGCATTTTTGACAAAGTATTTCTCAAAATGGTATTTTTAGGGCTGCGAGTGGAGGACTTGGTGAAGTTTACTGTCAAAGATGAAGCAAGTTCAAGAATTTTCTGTACAATTTGTCGAATATTCTCGCATGCCTGTAGTAAAAGCAATGTAGTCGACCATATTGAGTCGAAACATTTTAACGGTGCATTCTCCCACTTTTGTAAGGAATGCGGAAAATATTGCAAAACTAGAAACGCTCTGAAAGGGCACAGAAAAAGATGTACAGGAGCTCCAGATTCAGCAGATAGATTGTTTGGTCATATTGATGTAACTGATCCATGATTAATCACAATTTTAACTTTCTGAATTCAGTTTATGTTTTAGAACTGTCCATGGGGGACCTTCATCAGTTCGCACAACGAGATCAACTCTCAGCAAAATGGTTCTGTTCGATTTGTGGAAACTTCACTCATGCGAGCAAGGGCAATGTTATTAACCATGTGGAGTCTAAGCATTTTTGTGGCAGAATATCACATTTTTGTGATATTTGTGGACATTTTTGCAAAACTAAAAATGCACTTCAGAATCATAAAACTCGAGCTCACAAAACTTCATCTTGATCATTGTTTCAGGGACGATATCCAATCCTAAAGACCTGCTTCAGTTCGTCCATCCTCTGACCAACGGAGATCCTGGGTTCGTCTGTGGAGGGTTCGTCTGTGGACTATGCTTTAAGTTTAAACACGTGTGGAGGACGAACGTGAGGAACCATATCGAATCAATTCATTATAAAGGACATTTTGTTTATAATTGTGACATATGCGGGCAAGTAAAGAACTCAAAACAAGACGTTTACTCTTGTAAATCCGAGCATAGACGCAAATCCAAGCTGCCATAATTATCTTTATTTAAAACTGACGAAATTAAAAATTCTTCCTGAATAGTAAATAATATTTTATGTAATAAATGTTCGTTTTGTAAATTTTAAAGTTTTATTTATGATTTCAGGGTTAGTTCATCCTGGAGTAAGTGGTTTAGAAGATTTTGATCAATATATCCGGAAAGATGGGCCCTACAACATCTGTAATATCTGTGCATGCATGAAGAACAAATCCATCACAAATGTCCGCTGTCACATTGAGTCCAAACATTTCCCGGGAACTTTCACGTACACTTGCGAGTTTTGTGGCAAAGATTGTTTTTCTAAAACTTCGTATCGAGATCATAGATCTCTTTGTATGAAAATTACAACTACAGCCAAGTGAATTATACTGTTCAAACTCAAGATATTTGTTTCTAGGTATTGTTGAAAATCTATTGGTTGATGTTGGTTCTGGAACTATGTGCAAAGAGTGTGGTAAAATTTTAATGCATCGTTTTGACGCAAGGCGTCATGTTAGAATGACGCATTTTCAACACCAAGCTTATGATTGTGAAATCTGTGGTAAAAGACAAAAGCATATCTGGGCTTTGGGAGATCATATGCGAAAGTCACACGGTGTCAAGAAAAGTTATTTAAACCAATCTTATTAAATTAGTAAAATAAACGTTGTAATTTTAAATCCTGTTTTTTTCTTGCATTTTAACTATTTTTAATGCGCTTATTAAGCTTCAACTAAACTTGATTAACAGAAATAAATATTTTTAGAAGCACTTGCCGCGCTGGAGAAATTTATCTCGGACAATATGGGGTCTGAGAACTCGTGCAGTATTTGCGGAAAATTCTTCTGTCGACCGCAAGCTGTCAAGTTCCATATTGAAAGCGCTCATGGCCGGCACTTCAACGTAATCTATCCCTGTGAATATTGTGGCAAAGTGTCCTCGACTAAGAACTTGTATTGGACGCATAAGAGTCGTTGCAAAACCATGTTTTCTCTCTCAACATCAACTTCAACTGCCGACAGAAACTTTCTTTAAGATTTTTTTACTGATCTGAAATAAATTAGTGTCGAAGTCCCTTTAACTCGGCATGTTGTTATCTAAGCTTCAAACTATTCAACGTTCTTCTATTGCAGAATTTGTGGAGAGTATGATAGAAGATGTAGCTGATGGGTTTCGCTGCCTTCCTTGTGGCAAAGTTAGTCTCTCTAAGTCGCATGCGAGACGTCATGTGCGCATGGTTCATATGAACACTGCTGAACAGGAAGTGGCGTGTAATTTATGCGGGAAAAAATATCGACACAAATGGTCACTGGATGCACATCAACGTAAAATGCACATTTTTAAACCAACATTTTGATCTTGATAGTTTTTACATGTTAACGTGAAAATATTAAATATACTATTTGAAGCAAACTTGGTGTAACTTGTCACTAAATTGTTCTTTTTTTCTTAAATATAAAAGTTTTGCATTTTTCAGACCTGATGTATGATAAACTGGATCTAAGTAGTGGCTACCCTGTGTGCATGGTGTGTGGGAAGGGGTTCACTATACTAACCAATGCCAGGAGGCATGTCAGAACCATGCACTATGGTCAGGGGCAGGGACAGTTTGAGTGTCCCACTTGTGGCAAAGGGTTTGGAAAACAGAGATCATATGATGACCACATGAGGCGGGTTCACAGGGTGTATAAAAAAGAGGGTGCTGGAGAGTTCATGGAAAATATTTCCCTCCAGTAGATAAATATTTTGTTAAAGTTAGTTATCAATATAGTTGATAAATTATATAGTTGTTTTGTAGTCACAGTAACTTGGTTGAATATTTCAGTGTTGGTCTCGAGCCTGCACGAGCTGGACAGGTTCGTGAACGAGAACATCAGCTCCAGGGACGGAGTTCCAGCCTGCTCTCTCTGCACCTACACCTATACCCGGAGAAATAACGTGGCTCGGCATATTGAAGCCAATCATGTTTCCGCAGCATTTCAATGTGACGAATGCGGGAAAATTTCGCCCACAAGACATGCCTTGTATTACCACAAGAAAAAGCATAGTTCTTAATTTGATCAGTATTTAGATATTTCAAAATTAAATATTTCAGTATTAAATGTTGAATATTTATTTTAGTGCGTGTGTCACAGGAAGGGATTGGTAGTGTTATATCGTCTCAGATGTCGGAGATGTTTGACGGAGATAGGAAAATCTGGATGTGTCTCATGTGCGAGAAAACTTGTAACGTGAAACGTGACTTGGGTCGTCACATTGAGGCACTTCACGTGCTTACCGATCCGTTTATTTGTGGTCTTTGTAACGGTCATTTTGGTACACGTCGGGCACTTCAAAGACATAATTTAGCTTACCATACTGTAAAATAAAAATTAAATGTTTAATTTTATATTTTTCTAAATAAAAAGTTTTCATGTAATATCGCCTCTTAAAATGTTTTAAATAAACTTTGTGTTCCTTTAGGCGATTACATGGGGCAGAGCGGAGATCTAGACGCCCGGCTTAACACCATGTTCCAGAAGAGTACCGACGAGAACTATATCTGTCTCATGTGCTCCTACAGCAACGGTGTGAAGCAGAACATGAAGAAGCATGTAGAGATCCATCTTCCTTCGACTGGAAATCCTTGTGGTTTCTGCGGGAAAATTTTTAAGACTAGCAACTCTTTAAACACGCACATAAGTACTCGTCATAGAAAACTAAAGTATTGATATTTAAGGTGGCGAGCTTGTATTTGAAAACCCCGATGGAACCTTCTCTTGTGCAGTTTGTGGTCATGTGAGCAACATTAAGTGTAATTTAAAAAAACACTTGGAAATTCACAGTTCTGAAACCATAGAGTGTACTTACTGTGCCAAACCATTCAAAACCCGCAACAGCTATCTCACTCACGTGTATAGATACCACAAACAAACCTAGTTAAATTAAATTGATAAAATATTTGAAGATGAATAAACATTTGCTTGTACTGTCTGGTTCATATTGTTGCATGCAATTTTGTTTAAAAGTTTTAAATTTATAATATTATATGTTTTAGATCTTGACGGATTGATAGATCAGAGCCTGAGAAAAAATGCCAATGGAAACTTTTCCTGTGCTTTATGCGGGAAAGAAGGAACTACCAGACAAAATACCAGAAATCACATTGAAACCCACTTGGCAGTGTCAGGATTCAATTGTAACTACTGTGGGAAAAACTACCGAACTAGAAATAGTTTAAATGTGCATAAAAGTAGCTTGCATCGTTCTGATGCATCGGTTAGGTTCGGAGAAGTTAGAAATTCTCTGAATTAACATCACTTGATGGTGCCATATTTACATAGTACCTCTGTATTCTTGTATTTTGGATTTAGTATTGTGTATTTAAAATGCGTTTAATTATCATTCATTCTCAAGCTAAGAAGTTATTTGTTTAGAGGGCGACGAGCGAGTAATCGACATGAAGGTCGCAGCAATGTCGCGACAAACTGCCACAAGACGATGGGAATGTACAGAATGCGGAAAATTGGCAAGCCAGAGAACCGATCTAAAGAAACACATTGAAAGTCTACATTTAGACCTGGAATTGCCCTGTGACGTGTGTTTTATGGTGTTTAAGACGAGACACACTCGCTACGCTCATCTCAGAACTATTCATGGAATTTGTAACAAATAACACGTTAATATTAGAATATATGTACAATCCCAAGTTTTTCCCTAGTTTCAAATTTAAACAAATGTTTTGATATTTAGGTTTGTACGAAGAGAACTTGGTACAGGTTGACCCAAATGACAGGAAAAGTCCATGGCGCTGCCTGCTCTGTATCAAGGATTTTGCCAGTAAAAGCAACGCAATGCGTCATATAGAGACGTTACACACTGCAACTCCAACCCTGCAGTGTAACGTTTGCCAGCGGATGCTGAAAAACAAGAATTCACTCTCCAATCATATGATCATTATTCACGGGCAAAATAAGGGTGTTCGGACCCAGTTCAGAAATGGAGAATTGATTTAGCACAGTTAACAGCATGTATTTGTAATGCATTATTAATACATCGCATTTGAATGTAAAAAATATATTTTGCTAACCTCTAATCCTCCATAACCTAATCTTATCCGGTCTTGTGGTTTGATCAGCTCCATGTTTTAGGATTAGTAGGCGGGGAGAACCTGCTCCTAGTCCCAGATCCAACTGAGAACTTGGTTCAGGTTGATCTGGAGGATAAAAGATCTCCATGGAAATGTCTCATCTGCTTAAGGCGCAGAAGTTTTTATGTTTTGTTTTTAATTCAAGGTCACCAAAAAAAATTTTAGTGTTTTTAGTCACCTTTAATGTTTTAAAAATAACTTTGCGGTTTAAGGGAATTCTCCACTAAATGGAGTGGATGTCGGCACCTTCATAAAATGCATTCCGGCCCTGAGACTAAAGCTAGCGGTAAAACAAAATAAAAATTTTCATATTTTTAGCTAATTGTCGTTCATGGCTCTTTTTAGTTGAGGTTCTTCTTGGAGAGAAACTGGAGATAAAAGAGGAAGTGGTGGAGATTGAAACTGTTTGTTTAGATCCGGAGGAAAATATTACGTGTTCTGCATTTTTTAATTTAAATTTTTTTATCCCTTTCCTTTCATCCTTTTCCTTTTTTTGTTGGAACTCGTTTGGTTTTAGGAAGAACTTGTACAAAAAGATGATGCTTGGGAGTGTAAACTCTGCTTTAAGGTTATTGCATTGAAAAAAATGTCAAATTTTAACTTTTTATAAAAAAAAGAAGGAATTTTTAATAACTGTTTTTTTATATCAGGTGTCCAAGCCATACCACACTGCCAGGGTTAGTTTTTCTTTAATATTAAAAAAAATTGATTGGTCGAAAAAAGTTAAAGTCTTATTATTGTACTCTGAGCAGGACCATATTTTGGCGCACCTGGCTATACCTGGTGGGTTGACCTGTCTCCAGTGCGGACTTAACTTCACCAGCAGGAATATGTTCAGTCTTCACATGACCTCAGAGCACAAGAGCTTTAAACGCTGGTAGATCAGATCTCGTTGAAATCTACAGTTTGTTGTAAAAATTGGATATATTTCTGATGTTTGAAATATTTAACTGTCCTCTATAAGACAAAACTGATGTACCTCGTATAATTTTAAATTATAAATTTAATGTTAAAATAAACATAAAACTGTAAACATTTATTATTTTCAAATATTTTGATATTTATACAAATCTTTTTACTAATTTTCTCTCTGTTTTTTTAGACATAAACGTGCTGGAGGTGGAGGGAGGGTTCCAGTGCCAGCTTTGCGGAAAAATAATCAGGAAAAATATCTTATCCGAAAACGAAAGTTTTAAATGCTTAAGGATATAAAAAAGGGCGGCAACTATGAAAAAATATGCCCAAATTGCATTTTTTATACAAATAAAGTATTCAAGGGGAAAACGCCCAAAAAGTAAATTTTAAACTAGTTTTTGTTCAGTTCTAGGGGCTAAATTGGGCCGGGTTGAGGGCAGTCAAATAAGTATTTGTGTCTGCAGACAAATGTCTAATATGAAGCGACATTATCAAGATAAACACAGTGATGGCAGTGGAACTAAAGTTTGCCAGTTAGGATAAATGCCATTTCTCGCAAAAAAAAGCAATTTAATTTTTTTACATCTTAATCTTTTTTCTAAGATCAAATCTAAATAAGAGTGATTCCGACCCCCCTTCCTCATGATGTAGCTTTGACTAAATGCATTTTGTTTTAAAGCTTGTGTTTGAAAGAGTACAAGTCCCAGAACAGCTTAAACAACCACATCTACACTTACCACAAGAACAGGATTTAGGAGAACCGCAAGAACAAAACTCTGCAACAAAATTATTGTCCCAGAAAATTTGGAGCACATAATTTAAGCCATGTTAAAAATCATCCTAGTTATTTTTTGGAATATGCATGTGCCAAAATCCTGCCAATAAATCTGATACCGATTGTTTTGTATTTTAGTATTTGTGATTTTGTTCCTACTTCATCAATATTTTAGAAACTGAACTTATGCCACTTATATTTCAGAGCTGGACGAGCAAATCCTGAAGAAGATGTATAGAGACGAGAGGGTTGAAGGACGAAGTCCCTGGGTCTGCATAGACTGTGGCAAAACCTCGATGTTGAAGAAGGACGTTTCCAGGCACATCGAGGCCAAGCACATCCACAACATTGCTTTCGATTGCGGGCTTTGCGGGAAAATATTTAAGACTCGTGATTCTCTGAGAAAGCATCATTGTATTAATATTCAAATCTGATGAGTTAAAAAATATAAATGTTGGATAAAATTTTCATAATTTTTCTTGTTCTAGAGTTGGACGACGAGATTATGGGAATGATGTTCAAGAACGGCACCCAGTGGGTCTGCAGCGTGTGCGGTAAATCCGCGGCGAGAAAAATAGACATTTCCCGCCACGTCGAAGCTCGACACGTGCACAACCTTCAAATAGCGTGTCAGCAGTGTCAGCGGTTTTTCAAAACTCGAGATAGTCTTAGGAAGCACTGTGTTTCTAGTCACGCTTAAACTTCATCAAATCATTTATATTTTAAGACAATAAATGAATTTTGATTTTCTAAAAATGTTTCAAGCATGATTGTTATTACCTATGTCGTCAATATGTAAATCATTTTTTAATTGACATTTTTTAATATTAGGTTTGGACGATGAGATCTCCAAGCACATGCATAGGGATGAGACGGACAAAAGCTGGATTTGTGATGTGTGCGGGAAAACCTCAATGAACAAGTTTAATATATTCCATCACATTGAAGCGCGCCACATCAAACACAGCGGAGTCATCTGTGATGTTTGTCAAAGAAAGTTTAAAACCAGAAATTCTTTGCGGAATCATCGCAGGACGGAAGATCATTACACCGAAGATCATGTTTTCAAATAGTTTTTTTTTTCGATTGAATTTAGTATTTACTGTAGTGTTAATGATACAAATAGACGTTTTGTATAAGATAATTATTAATTATTTGAATAATGTTTAGATCTAGATGAGCAGATCTCAGAGTACATGTACCGAGATCAGAGTCTGGGTTGGGTCTGTAAACTCTGTGGGAAAAACTCTGTTAAGAAGTACAACATTCAGAATCACGTTGAATCCAACCATATCCAGTCTAGTGGTGTTACTTGTACTACATGCGGAAAAGTGTTTAAAACTCGGGATAGTTTGAGACATCACTTGAAGTCAGCTGGGCATTAACAATAACCATAACTCCAATATAATCCTGTACTTCTTTTGTTTTATTTTTAATATATCTTGTGTTCTAAAATTGCTTTTTTCTGTAAAATATTATTTTTTTATTTTTAAACTAAATCGTTCTTTTTTGTTTTAGAACTTGACTTGGATGTTGAAGAATTAGACGCACTGATTGCTGCAAATATGTACCGAGACGAGGTTCAAGGTTGGATCTGTAAATTCTGTGGGAAATCCTCGAAAAAGAACAGTCACATTATCGCACACATTGAAGCCAAGCATTGCAGGACGCGTGGCTTCGTGTGTCCTACATGTGATAAAGTTGTGAAAACTAGAGAGAGTTTGAGACACCACACTAGAGTCTGCTTCCCTATGAACGTTGAAATAGTGAATGAATGATTTCTTAACAAGTAATGTTTGGAATAAACTGTTGACTATAAAAATATCATTTATTGATTTTGTTTTTTTTCCATATTTTATTTTGATTTACATTTTGTTCAGATTTGTACCTGGAGCTTGAGTCTCGAATGTACCGGGATGCGCTAGGCTGGGTCTGTAAAGTCTGCGGAAAGACCTCGAAACAGAAGAACAACCTCCGGTCCCATGTTGAGGCTAACCATGTTGACACAGGGGGAATTGTCTGCTCAATCTGTGCTAAAGTATTTAAGACAAGAGATAGTTTGAGGCATCACATTAAAACCTGTAGTTTGTAACTCGACCAACATTAACTTTAATAATTAAGTTTGACCATATTTTACAAATAAAATAATTTTCCTTCGCTTGAATTTGAAAATATTTTTCATTTTCTGATGTTTATTTTTTCAGAACTAGACAATCTGATTCTGGAACAAATGCACCGAACCTCGGACCTCGGTTGGATTTGCAATATTTGTGGAAAATCATCGACTAAAAAGAACAATATAACCAGCCATATAGAGGCCATACACATGCAGACCGGGGGCTTTCATTGTGATGTATGCAGTAAAGTGTTCAAAACCAGAGATAGTTTAAGACATCACACTAAAACCTGTTTATTACGCTAACCAAATCTTGATTAAAATGAGATTTTACGACTAATTTTTAGTTTTGCTAATTTGGAAATTTTTCTAGAATTGAGCAGTGCTATTGCTGAACTGATGTATCGGAACCCTGTGCTGGGATGGATGTGTACCGTCTGTTCGAAATCCTCGAGATATAAAAACAATATCGAGTCTCATGTCGAGGCTCATCATCTCAATACCGGCGGGGTCTCTTGTCCTCTCTGTAGCAAAGTATTGAAAACCAGAGAGAGTTTGCGACAACACATGAAATTTGTTTCACATTAAAATTGTTTTAATAAATCATTTATTTTTAAATAATTTGTAATATTATTACAGAGCTTGACGAGAAGATTGCCGAGGTCATGTTCAAGGACGTGTTCATGAACTGGGTGTGCAAGGTGTGCAACAAGATGTCCAAGACCAAGCGGAACATTGAGACGCATATCGAAGCTAATCATATTGAAAGCAGCGGAGTCGCGTGTCCAATCTGTTATAGAGTGTTAAAAACTAGAGAAAGTCTGAGATCTCACATGAAGAACACAAAACATTAATTTTATACGTTTTAAATAAATAGTTTGTTATCAAATCTTTATGAACATGATTTTTTATCCCAAAGTTTTAATTTCAAAAGTTGAAAAATAATAATTATTTTTTTCAGAATTGGACGAAATTATTGCCGGCTTTATGTTCAAAGATCCTCTTCTTGGCTGGGTTTGCAATGTTTGTGGGAAAAATTCTAAAATGAAGAAAAACATTGAATTCCACATAGAGGCGAACCACTTGAAAACCAATGGAGTTGCCTGTACTTTCTGTGGAAAAGTATTGAAGACGAGGGAAAGTTTGAGACAACATTTAAAGAACGCAAAACATGTTTCACCCGTAACCTATGAATAAACATCTAACAATAGTCGGCGAAGTAAATTATATGTCTTACCAAGATTCTAATTATATGATAATAAATGTATGTTCAGCTTTGACTCTTATTCGGGATTTTTAATAATGAAATTTTTAATAACTTTTTAATTTATCCGGACTTATACCGGATTAATTTAATTGTAGGTTAAAGCACAAAGATTATAAATTTCACTATATTGCAAGTGGTGTTTTGATTTTTTTCAGTCGGAATCTTAATCATTTTGATGAATAAACGAGATGCAAATTATTAATGAGAAAATTTCTAACTTGTAAATATTTGCAACACTAAAAATCTTAAATTGTAACTTCTTATTTAAAGTTTACTGCTTTTCAATATTTATGATTTCTTTCGTCACACTATTATTTTTCTTACTGATCAAGATTAACCTGAAGCAGAAGGATCAAATTTAAACTAAAATTTCAGTTTCGTCCTTTCCCTTATGTAGAATAAACACAGAATACTTTAAAATTATTAAATTTAAAATTAATTTATCAATTCTATAAATATTGCAGAGCTTGATGCTGAGCTGGAGATGTACATGCATAAGTCGGGTGGCTGGGGTTGGACCTGCAAGGTGTGCGGGAAGAGCAGCATGTACAAGAGAAACATCTTGAACCACGTGGAGGCTAAACACGTGACAACGGCAGGGGTTGCTTGTGATGTCTGCTGTAAACAGTTCAAGACAAGGGACAGTTTGAGGAAACACATGAAGGACGCGCACAATTAAATTGATTGATTGAAGAAAATAAAAATATGATCTAATTTTTTACAATTCTTGGTTTCTACTGGTTATATTATTAACCTCTGTTTATATTTAGATCTGGATCTACTTATATCGGAGTATATGCATCGAGATCCAGTCCTGGGTTGGGTCTGCTCCGGGTGCAACAAGATATCCACCAACAAATTCAACATTATCAACCATATTGAAGCAAAGCATATTCAAACTCCTGGCGTGACCTGTGATCTATGCTACAAACTGTTTAAAACTCGGGAGAGTTTGAGAAAACACAGAAGTCTTGAACATTCAAGATTAGTGCAATAGCATGTTGAATCAATAAATATTTAATGATTATTATCTAGTTTTATTCACAAAATATTCATGCTCAATTTAATTTTTGCCAAATGAACATTTTTTTCCAGGAGGGCTGAGCTGCGCTGTTGAAAACGAGCTAGTTGCTGAAATAGAGAGATTAATGTTCAAGGGGCCAGATAGGTTTTGGAATTGCAAGATTTGTGCCAAAACATCTAAGGAAAATTTAGCCAAATACTGATTTCATTTGTGTAATTTTTTCTCTCAAATTGTTTGATTTAGTAATGTCATCTCGAGATTGAATCGTGGATCGTAAGGACCTGCCTAAACGCTTTATTTGATTTGATTTTGATCCATTTCAACCATATGAATAAGCCAACCTCTGAAGTTGGTAATATCTGAATTTTTAACCAAACATTACATGATTTGTGCAGTGCCTAGGATCCATTTAATTTTGATCCGCACTGGAAAAAAATGGATCCGGATCTTAAAAATTTACTGTATTTTGTAAGCTAAGCAAAAATTGCAAATTTTGTCTTGATTTGTTTGCTTATTTTTATGCTAAAACTTTATGAAACATTCAGAAATCAGGAAATTTGTATAATCTCTCTTTTATTAATAGTTCAGATTTGGGGTTTGAGAGTGAACACTTTTTGCAGCTTTTGGTTGATATTTTGCCCCTTAGATCCGGATCCAGGAAGCCAAAATCTTGCGGTTCTAAAGTACTGGATTTGTGCAAATTTTGATTTGGTTAAATTTAGTTGAAGACTGATATAAGTCGGCATGTGGAAGCTGTGCATATGCTGAACCATCCAGGAATAACTTGTGATATTTGTGGAGAAATCTCTAAAACTAGAAATGCGCACAGACAGCACAGAACTGCTAAACATACTGTGCACAGATCTACCATGGAAGCTCTTCCTGCTCCATATTTCTAGATTAAACTTCCTGCTCCATGATTCTAGATTTTAAACTTATCGCTTCATATTTCTAGAGTAAACTACTGCTTCATATGTCTAGATTAAACTTACTGCTCCATTTTTCTAGATTAAACTTCCTGCTTCATAATTCTAGACTAAACTCTATATTGAACTTCCTGCTCCTCATTCATATAAAAAAATCTATATTAAACTTCCTGCTCCATATTTCTAGACTGAACCCCAGATTAAACATACTGTTCCATATTTCTAGGCTGAACTCCAATGTAACGTAATGTAATTAAAGTAAATTTTAATAAATAGATTATCAAGTACAATAGGTGGCAACAGAGAAATAGACCAATTATACACGACGTCACAAGTGTCAAATAAAACAAGGAAAACGAAATTTGTTCACATTAGTTGACATGTTTTTCAAGATTAAATACAACAGTGTAAAGACAGAAAATAAAAAACACATAAAATTGCACTTATTTTACTGTAAAATAAGTACTTTAAATTATCACTAATATTTTTATTTTTGTCGGACACAAAAACTAAGAATATAGTTGTTCTGAGAGTGTACAAATTCTACGTTGCCATCTATTGTACTAAAATTACATTAACTTTCCAATTCCTGTTCTTAAATTCTACACTTCAATATCAACTTCAAACTGCTCAAACAGTAAATCCTGTAAAAAACTAGAACTCCATAAATACTATTTAGAATATATTACAAAGTTTCAATAATTAGTATTAAATTAAATTTAATTCCATTTTTTATCAATTCAATTATTTTTTTTCCATTTTAATGCCTTCAAAGTAAAAACTTAATATTTTCTTTTCCAGTTTGTTGCTTTATTTCTTTTTTTTTTAACTACACCAATTAAACTATAATTGTCGGATTCGGACTCACGAGTGGTCTTTTAATTATGGTATTAAGATTTCTCAAAAACTGTCAAAAATACTAGAGCCAAACAATGTATGTGTGCTGATGGCTTTGATATTACTTAAAAACATATAATCTCGTAGACCATTTAAATACTTGTGTAAGATTTATAATAAATAAATATTGAGACATCTGTGTTTTTTTAGAAATAGGTTGATAAGTGTGTTAAATTTCATTTCATTTTTTAAGTGAATATTACACAAAAAATATATGCGTGAAAACTAATATCAAGAGAAAATAAAATGGTCATTTTTTTAGATTGGCAAAGCATGACTGCACAGTTGGATGATGGCAGTGGGTTCATCTGTCTAATCTGTGACAAAATCTGTCAAATGAAGGTGTAGTAGTTTTATCGGTCTATTCTGTAATATTAAGGTCTAGTAGTTTATCTGTCTAATCTGTCACATGAAGATCTAGTAATTTATCTGTAGAATCTGTCACATGAAGGTCTAGTAGTGTATGTGTCTAATCTGTCACATGAAGGTCTAGTAATTTATCGTTAGAATCTGTCACATGAAAGCCTATTAGTGTATGTGTGTCTAATCTGTCACATGAAGGTTTAGGAGTAAAAAATCAACCAATTGTCTATATTTATCTACTTTTACAAACATCAGGTTATAAATTTTCTTTAGCTGCACTGCAGAGCATTTTTTGATTTGATAGCAGGGAGTTTATTTTCATTTTCACTGCAGAGTGTATACTTACTTTTATCTGTACTGCAGGGTATGTATTTACATTTATCTGTACTGCAGGGTACTGTACTGCATGCAGGGAATATATTTACTTTTATCTGTACTGCAGGGTATATATTTACATTTATCTGTACTGCAGGGTATATGTTTACTTTTATCTGTACTGCAGGGTATATATTTACTTTTATCTGCACTGTATGATACATATTTACTTCTATATGTACTGCAGGGTATATATTTACTTTTATCTACTACAGGGTAACATGAGAAAGCATCTGGAAGGTGTACATATAGTAGATCTCCCTCTACCCTGCCAGCTGTGTGGAAAAGTATTCAAGAATAAGAACACCTTGTCTAACCATATCAGTCTCACACATAGGCGATAACTCTTTAACTAGGCATTAGAAATTGTAATTTTTTAACAACATTTTTTAATCATATTTTTAAAAACAATATTTCTTACAATTCTACTGTAATGTCACTATCACGTTATTTGCACTCTTACAAAATACACAATAAATAGTTTTTTTAAATCAACCTCCATTGATTTTATTATTGTTCAATTTAGAATGGCACTTTGTCTGATCAAGTATGAATTAGATATCCATGTTTTTAGAATGTTTATTTTCATTTGTGGTTTTTCTACAAAAGTCACTTGAACATTTCTTGCTTCAGAAACAATTGAGGAATTAATAGAACTTAACACTTTTAGTTTAAATTTTAATATTTGAGAAACTGTATGAGGGAATAATGAGCAGGATGAGAAGAAACAACCATTCTAGAACTTGCACCACAACTCGTCCGTCCAACCTTACGAAATTTAAAAAATAGTTAGTCAAAAATCGAAACAAAAAATATGTTTCAACTTACTTTTGTATAAAAGGTTGAAGTATTGACTCCCAACATGCATCTCCTTCACAGCTTAACTCACTCTAAAGAATTCGTATTGTTTAAGTGAGAACCAGAAAACTCTGGAATAGGAAGTCGACTTTTAAACTTAAGATATGATAATTAGTCTCCTAAGAACAAGAAACACCGCAATTGTTCAGTGTGTAAACAGAACCATTTGACTTAAGTGATTAAATAACTTACTAGTAAATCTATCAAATGCACTTCAGTAATGCTTAAATGTCGTCCTCCTGCACTACAGTTTTCTGGTTATCACTGTATATAGTTTAGTTTGAATAGTTTGAGATGTGACGGTTATTGTAAAAATACACCCCTGTATTAGTAAGATTTGTTTACCTGAAGAACCCAGAACCTTGATGTGTTAGCTAGATGCCAGATGACAGGTACATTGATAAACTCCACCTCAGTTCGGAGTAAATATCTTCGAGTTCTCCCACACTCTCCAACCTCGGTCCTAGAATCAAACCATGAAAAATTATAAGATTTAATAATATATAATAATGTGATACTTAATGTTGGGAAATTTTTCCCGACCTTAAAAAATCTTAGAATGGGTCATCAAGTCTGAGCTTAAAAATAAGAGAAAAAAGTCAGGAAAAATTAGAAAATTTCATTTGCTCTAAAAATCAATGAATCTTAAAGAAATATTCATGGCCTGGGTCAGGATCCATTTTTTTCAGGTTGGATTCGGGATCTGGATCAGCATCAAAATTAAATCCGGATCCATAAAATGTACTTATTTTTTCACCTGCTACAAGTCCAATGCCAAGTGTTCCACAAAGGTGTTACACGGACTCCAGTTATCAGGCGAATAGGCTACAAACAATCAAAAAATATTTAAAATGTCCTAGGTTGCCAAAAATATGACAAAAAGGTAAGACGACAGTTACATAGGTTTCATTTTTAAAATAATGGTTAGCTGAGTTTTTTGTATTTATTTTATAATGGCTATTTAATCCATTGATTGATTGAATAATCGATTGATTGCATGATTGATTGATTGATTGGCTTATTGATTGACGTTTATTTCTGTTAGCATCGGGGCGAGCTCCTTTAAATGTTAAGTAAGTCTGTTATGGCTCTTTGTTTGTGAATACTCATACAAATCAAAGTTAAGATATTTTTTATCTTTTGTAAAATGTACGCTAATTTATTTTAAAAATTGAAAAATTAATTCTCACCTCTCCTTGCAGTTCTCCATTACTAGTGTATAACACTGTTATGCGGACTCCAGATGGAACCTAAACGTAAAATCATATTTTGCAAATTAGATTTTCAGATAAAAACTCCTATATCAGGAAAATGATTTTCTGTTTTGAAATAAATACTTAATTCTGTTATTGTTAATGATTCCATTTTGCTTTGCAATTATTTGACAGGTTGGTATCAAGGTCCAAGTATCAGGACTATAGGTTCAGTACCTGACAGGTTGGTATCAGGCTTCTAGTATCAGGACTATAGGTTCAGTACCTGATATGTTGGTATCAGGGTTCTAGTATCAGGACTAGGTTCAGTACCTGACAGGTTGGTATCAGGGTTCTAGTATCAGGACTATAGGTTCAGTACCTGATATGTTGGTATCAGGGTTCTAGTATCAGGACTAGGTTCAGTACCTGACAGGTTGGTATCAGGGTTCTAGTATCAGGACTATAGGTTCAATTCCTGATATGTTGGTATCAGGGTTCTAGTATCAAGACTATAGGTTCAGTACCTGACAGGTTGGTATCAGGGTTCTACGAGTATCAGGACTAGGTTCATTGCCTGACAGGTTGGAATAAGGCTTCTAGTATCAGGACTATAGGTTCAGTACCTAACCGGTTGGTATCAGGGTTCTAGTATCAGGACTAGGTTTAGTACCTGACAGGTTGGTATCAGGGTTCTACGAGAATCCGGATAGGGTTTAGTACCTGACAGGTTGGTATCAGGGTTCTACGAGAATCCGGATAGGGTTCAGTTTCATCATGAAGTATCTTGACTAGACCTTGAGCATCTGTTAGATTCAAACTTCCATCCTAGAATATATTGAAATTAAAAATGATGAGTTTTACAGAATCAAATCATTTATTATCTAGGACAAGAGACATCATTATTGTGTTAGTTTTGTAAATTTAATCAGGTTATCATTTCAAGAATCAGAGCTGAGACCTTTAGATTGGATAGCCTTTAATCCCAACTACTTAATCCGAATACCCACTATGGAAACTTTTAATTTTAGTCCTTAATCCACTCTTTTTCTCTCTCTTTGGATATCCGTGCAGTGCTTTCTCCAACAAGAGTGCTGGAATATAGTTCGTAAATTGTATTGACCAAAGACAGCCTTGAAAATAAATTCTATCCAATGAGAGAAATCTGCAATTTCTAACAAATAAAGAATTTGTTGTCGGCCATTTTGTAAATTGATCGATGAAAACAAATATTAATAATGTGTTTGAGATTTTTTTGTAACCAATTTTAACTAATGTATTAATAAATAAATGAGTCAAGAAAACGAAGAAATCTGGCGTTCCTAGAATCAAATTTGTTGATCAAAATATTTAATCTCAAGACTAACATAATCTCGAGATTATGTTAGTCTTGAGATTAGCAAAAACAGACAATTAAGCATTAATCCTGATATTCACCATTCTAAAGTTCCCAGCTCAGTTTAAATAAATGATACAAGACACAGGGATACTCACAAAGGAAGAGATATAATGACGACCTAAAATTTTAAAATATTAGGATGCCAAGGTTTAATTAAGTAATCTGCCTTTAATATAGTCTTGTAATAGCTTATTAAATGATTCAGCAAAGAAAGAAACAAGTTTACAGTGTTTCAGTTGCTGTTACATAAAAAAAGGAAACAGACAGTAAAAATTCCGTAAAGTCATCTCTGAAGTTTATTATTTGCGGGTAGGCCTGTATCTCAAGAAAAGGTCATGCCATTTCTTATTATCAAGTTTAGTTGCACTACTGTAAAAAGTCAGAGAGAAAAATCAAAACCTAGATTTCAAATTAATGTTAAATTCCATTAATGTTAAATTCCATACCTTGGCAATTAATGTTGATCTGAGCAGATTGTTTTGTAGATTCATAATTTTACTCTTCAGCGCCTTCAAATATTCAGATTAAACGGACTGTCATTGTAATCATTAGCGGACTGTTACAATTGACAACACCATATAACTATTGATAAAAAAAATTTCTTGCGAGAGAGAAAGTGAATTAGTTTTTGCCATATCTTTGCAACCTGCAATATCACAGACCTAAGATATTTCAAACTGAATTCTGTTGATTTAATAATCTAAGTTGGGAATACCAAAAGGTTAAAAAGATGACAATGAGAATGTGATTCGGACGAGAAAATGAGTAGAATGTGGCTGGGATGAAAATTTGACGGAAAGGAAAATAATTTGGCTTGCCGTCCCTCCCTCGTGCACCTGATTACAAGACGAGGAGGGGAGAAAAGTCAATTATGTTGCCGTCCCTCCCTCGTGCACCTGATTACAAGACGAGGAGGGGAGAAAAGTCAATTAAGTTTTGCAAGATTATCATATTCTAATCCAACCTTCACTGGGATTGTGACAAAGGTTAAAAGAGTATCAGTGAGTGTGAATTGTGAACGTCCCACTTTTAAAAGTAGATTTAATAATATAAGATTAAAAATCCATTAAAATCTATAATTTATTAATTGAAAGAAATTTTTAGTCGTAAATTTTTTGTATTTTTTATGGAATCTGTATCAACTTTGCACAGAGTTCTCTGTTTTTGTATAAAGAGGAAAGAAAATTGATTTTTCAGTTTCCACTTAAAAATTTACTTTAAAAACTCGGAGAAGGGGGGGGGGAGGGTAGTTTTACAAGCCTGTAAATCTTAACCTACCCTGCAGCTTGTACCTACCCTGCAGCTTAACCTACCCTGCAGCTTGTACCTACCCTGCAGCTTGTACCTACCCTGCAGCTTAACCTACCCTGCAGCTTGTACCTACCCTGCAGCTTGTACCTACCCTGCAGCTTGTACCTACCCTGCAGCTTGTACCTACCCTGCAGCTTGTACCTACCCTGCAGCTTGTAATATTCTTCTTGTGAACCCTGATAAAGCAGCCACTTTCCATATTCACTCCAAACTCAACCGACCTGACCAAAGATTTTTTTATTTCAATTTTTTTCAGCTAATTCTTCTTGAAGTCATTTCAAACTTGTTTGAAACTTTGCTTGAAATAGTAAAAGTAGGTTTTTTTGCACAAAAAGCAAGATAAAAATAGCAACTAATATATTTCGAAAATTTCAAATGCCTTAAGTGAAATTTTAATTTAAAAATTACAAATTATGTAGATATTCAGAAATTATTAATACAAAATAAATGTTGATTGATTCCTAAGTTGTGAGTCTGCGCAAAGAGAACTTTTGGTTGAAGAGCCCCAGACCCTAAACCCTCTCACATCCAGACTATACTCTACACTTGTCTCATTCTCAACCTGTAGATTGTAGAGTACACATAATTAAAACACAAGTAATACAATTAAAACGCATGCATTCCTTAGGAAAGGTTAACAATCTCATAAATACACAGAAATAAGAATAAGATCATCTGTTTGCTAATAATTTCAAAATACTCCAGAGATGAAAAAAATATTGCATTTAACAATGTATAAATTAGACTTGGCCCAAAAATGATCTGACTTATTGAATTTTGAACCTGTACGCACTTGTTACAAACATTCTTTCTTTACAGGACCAAAGTCGACAAGTCTTAATCCACTGTTTCTCATGAAGGTTTAAGACCAGAATTTAAGATTTCAAAGATGCTGTGAATCTCATGATATATTCTTTTAAATACTCAAAATTATGTCTGCAATTCCTTTAAGCGCGCATTTTTCAATGAGTTGTCGTATTATTCTACTTAAAAAGATTTCTCAATTCTGCATACCTGTACAGTTGTATTGACGACAGGGATAATCGGTTTACCAATTAAATATCCAGGGTTTCCTGATCTTTCTATAATATTTCCAGGGTTTCCTGATCTTTCCATAATATTTCCAGAGCTTCTGGATTCTTCATTAATCATGTCTGTATCATGATCAAACAGTGTCTAAAAATGGTTTTTATTACAGAAAAAAAATAATAATATACGTTTGTTTCAAGGGACTGTGGACATAATTTGAAGTTATATTCAATTTAAAAAAAGAGGGACATGCTCGATTCACAACGGTTCCATTAAACAATTATCTGAGCGAAAATATCTAGAAATTGATAATTTTGATTTCTCCACAGTGTCCGAATTTAATGAATTTAAGTCCCAAAAACCGGTTTCAATTGAGCGCCGGCTTAAATCTTGAAAAAATTAATACAAATTTAAGTGGAACCAACTATATCTGAGCCGTGGCTTAAATTTAAACCGCGGTTCAAATTCTTTAAATTCGGCCTCAGGTGAGTTTTATGCAGCTGAGACTAAGAACGGGATTACCAGAGGGAATCCTTTTTAAGATGCTGCTCAGACAACGTGGTTTGTAAATCGGACATGCCACTCTTGAAAAAGAGGGTTACTTAAAATTAGGTCCCTTCAAAAACTTGAAGATATTAAATGTTCCATATTAAAAAACATGTTTAACCTCTGTACCTTGTTTCGTTGTCTTAAATGCTGGAATTTTACAGTGTAATACTGGTTCAGGTACATTCGGGGAGATTCCAGGGTTACATTTCCTAGTATAGAAATCTGTGTAAAAAAACATTAACAAAACAATAATAATAATAATAATAGCAAGTACAATAATAACAATAAAATTAACAATATCAATAACAAAACAAATACAATAAAAAAAGTAAGAAAAATAACAAATGACAATAACAAAAATACACGGTCAATCCTAACCATAACAGGAGGAAAAAACATTAAGCTTTCGCGCAAAAAATCCAGCAGTGCATTAATTTGGTCTTAAAGCATATTATCTGAAAAAAATTTACTTTGATGAGCACTTCATGTCTTTCCAATCTTTATCGACTTTATTAAACATTTTTCGTTATAATACTGAGGATACAAACTTAACTGAATATCAGTGATTTGAAAATATATAGATTTTAATTTATCAAATTTAGCTTAATTTTGTATATAATTATAAATAAAGTTTAAATAATAATTAGTGAAACTTTGTTCTTATTTAAAACGTGGTAATAAATAGAACAAAAATTCTATTTAATATATGAATCAATCTGACCAGGAATTTAATACAATTAAAAAAACTAGCAAACTCACCAAGAAGAATGTCAACTTGTATTTTGATAATCTGTGTACCAGTCCAGTACAGTGTATATTTCACCTCTACATTGTATGTTTTTTATCAAAATTCAAAACAAATATGGAAGTGAGAAGACCTTGAAACAATTATATGGAATTTTTAAGTATAGTTTCTATAACTGTTTGCTACAAATTCGTAAGAAATAATAATCAGCTTCCTAAAGGAACTCAATACTCGCCACAATTCAATGAAACCTCAAATCTTTGCAACCTGGTGGTATAGATCTTTGATATTTCAAACATATATATTTAATCTAAAAAAATCAGTTTAAAATCTCCAAGGTCTATACGACATCAGGTTGCAAAGATAAGTGATTTAAAAATTAGAAATTGTGGTGATATAAAGTTCCTTTCTTATGATTTCAAGAATATCTTTTATATGTTATGGCCAATCAAACTTTAGATTCTATTTATTTATGTTAAAACATTAATGATGTATGTATGTAAACAAAATTTAATGAATAAAACATACCTAGAGCAATATTTCTGCATTCATTTTCCTCCGTGTTAAAATTAGCAAAGTATGGTAGTTTGTCGTAAGGCATGACTCCTTCATTTCTCACATTTTCGTCAAACATAGAAGGACTAAAATCCTTTCTAGATAGTTCTAACAAATCCTCGAAATTTTCCGCGACATTTTCGCGGATTTCCAAAGCTCTGGATTCGGTGGATAAATAGTTTTCAACTGTCTCTGTAGTGTAGTAGTTCACCGTGGTTTTAGTTGTGTTTAAATAGTTGTTGGAGGAGAGAACTTGACTGAAGGTTGGTTCGTTCTCAATACCTGAAATTAACTAATTTAATTCCAATCTTAATTTGTTACCATAATAATAATATCTAAATATAGGGTTAGTAAAAAAAATGTGATTAGCGGCGTCTGGTGCAAAATTGTATCTTTTTCGTGCAACTCTCCTGTATCGTAATTTTTAATATTTTAGGAATTTATTTTTTTTGCACTCCAATTGCCCAAATAAAATCAGCGAAACTTTTCCTTAAAAATTAGACCAGAACTGAAAATTGCAAATTTTCTTTTTTTCTTAAAGGGACAGTAAAGGGAAAATGAAAGGGGGTATAGGCTGAAAGCTAATCACTTTAGCTCTTGATCGCGACCCATGAAAGTTATATCAGATGTTCCTGTCTCGAGAAACTGATATAAAACTGTGTTAAAATTATACGAAAATTCATATATGTAAAATTTTGAAAATCTGTAACTTAAATCACGTGACCAGAACTATCACCAATGGCAGAGCAGTATACTGGTCACGTGTCTCCGCCTGTATCACGTGACCACTTTACTGCACTGCCATTGATGGAATTTCTGGTCAAGTAATACGGACGTAAAAATAATATTATGAATGAAATCTATTGAAAATAGAAATAACAAATATAAAAGTAAACCTAATTTACAATTAGCTTTCTCTGGGATATCATCGTTTTCAGATTGGTTGCATATTTGCTGAATATGATCTGTTTAAACCTACTACTTTTATACAAAATTGTATATATATTAATTTTCGTATAATTTTAACACAGTTTTATATCAATTTCTCGAGACAGGAACATCAGATATGACTTTCATGGGTCGCGATCAAGAGCTAAAGTGATTAGCTTTCAGCTTATACCCCCTTTCATTTTCCCTTTACTGTCCCTTTAATATTGAAAAAATTCCATACAGAAGAATTGCACACACAAAAAAAATACACTTTTGCACCAGACGCTACTAATCTCACTTTTTTGACTCACCCTGTAAATCACAAAATATAATAGATAAATACAAATTACAAATTAAAGCTGAAGAGAAATGACCGTAAAGAAAATCTTTTTTTATTTAAAAAAAAATGTTTTTCTATAAAATTTATAAGAACAATATATTTGTATTTCGGCTGAAAACATTTGAAAACTGATTTAAAATATATCAATTTGAATTATTAAATATTGTTTTTAATTAAATTATTGTGTTTTTCGGCTTCAATTTGAAGACTAATTGTTACTCAAGGGTTTATAGATGTTCGAGATCATTCACTATAGTTTTAGAGATCTTTAATCTCCGTATATATTCATTCTCTTTCATTAAGAAAATTGTGAATTTTAAATATAAAAATAATGGAGACAAACCTGGAAAATCCATTAAATACATTTGGTGGTCTAGAGGAGAATTCTTACCATCGTCACAAATCTCAGGACTAAAACAAAAATTTTAATTTAATTATAATTAGCTTGGCCCGGCGCCGCCCAGGTTACTCATAGTTACTCCCGCTGTTTATCCGCACTTGGTCGATTTTACCGGGAAACAAATTTTAGCTATAAAAGCCGACCAACTCAACTTAGAATTTCAAAACCAAGCTAATGTTACCTAATCGAAATATGAGGGAATCCGCGGTACTGGGATTCCAGAGATTATGTATATATAGATAATGCTTTACTTATTTGAACTATAAAAACTGCAGAATTAGAAGACAACATTAAAGCAATCTCATGATATTTGATGTTTTTTAAATCTAAAAGTTTTATAAATATAGCTTGAAAATTTACTTATTAGCTGAAATGGGGTTTTATTTAACACTATGTTTGACGCAAAATTGCCGCGTTAGTGATTGTAAACTTTAACCAGATACAACCTGAGTTGGCGTTAGGGTTTCCACGAAATGGCTAAATCTTTTGCGCAAAATTTGCGCTATTTTCGCGCAATTTTTTTTTGCGAACTTTTGCGCTATTTTTGCGCATGAAACGCAATGAGTTTTGCGCTATTTTTTTTGCGCAATTTGCGCAAAACCGCAAGTTTTACGCAAAATGTAACTTTTTAGGCACATTGTCAAAAATTGATATTCTAAGCTTAGAATTAAACAACTGAAGATTTATTCCATACATAAAAAAATATTAACATACGAGTATGATAACGATTATACTACACTCAATTGGTTGCTTCCAGTAACAAAAAGTTTAAATTAAGGGACCAAAATTAATAAAATAGAAATTAGAGAGTGTGAAACTTGGCAATATTTTAATCCTATTAAATAATTTCAAGTGACCCTTAAAAGCTTTGCCTAATCAAGTATGAATTATGTTCTTAAATTTTTTTAATCAAATTTCTGAAATCTTTTTTATCTCATATAAAATAATGCAAGAAAGTAACCAATGCCTGAAGAATCCACTTTTAGGAAATATGCATGTCCGAAACTAAAATTGTCGAGACTTTTACTGGACAATCTGTTTCGGATTTTGGTACGAAATTGCGGAATTGCGCAAAACTTGAGTTTCGCAAAAGCGGAATAGGGCAATTTTGCGCGAAATGACTTTTGCGAATGATTGCGCAAATTGTTGTTTTTTCGCGCAAAACTGATGCGCAAAGAAAGAAAAATTTTGCGTTTCGTTCCGCAAAAATTACGCAAACGTTTTGCGAATGAAACCCTAGTTGTCGTCAACTTGAATTAGATTTACCTAAGAGTTCTTATACAGGAAGTTTTCTGGTTTCTCAAGAATCGAACCGGAGCTAAAACATTATTAACATTATTTATTTTCAGTCAAAATGTAAAAATTATGAATATTGAGTATCAGGCCAAGAGTTTTACGCAGAATTGTTTTCAATATTCGTTTATTTTTTTTTATTTAGAGAGATTGTTTTAATTCATTATCAAACATCAAATAGTGTGAAAAAACTTTGCCGATATTAAAGTTTGAAATTTCTAAATGCTATTAAACTGAGAAAGTGGGTTAACTCCTTTTTCAAATTTCTTTATTTTCTTTTAAAGACTCAAAGTCACACTTAGATATCGAGATCACGATGTCTACACCTGAAACCAAAGTGCATGTATAGATTGAAATCTTATCTTGGCCGTCTTTAATGGCAAAGCCGGATGTTATTGTATGATATAATTTTTAAATCATACAATTGGAGGTGTTCCGTCCAATAGGTAGGGGGAAAGTATTAGGAAGAGAGAGAGAGAGGGGGGGGGGTTTATGTAGCTCAATCAGAATCAAAAGCTAGCTCAGAACTTAGGATGGCACATTTATTTATTCAGAAATAAATGACAAACAGTTTGATCTTGAACATTCAAATTGCAGATACATATATGTTTTATCCGTGCATGCAATTTATTTTTTAACGAGTTTAAAGAACACGAGTTTTTTTATTTCTACTGACAATGGATTCCATATTTGTGGTAGGAAAACTTTAGGAAATTGTTCTAATACTTTCCTAGTGATAACCAGAAAACTCTGAAATAGGAAGACGACAATGGTTATGAGTTTATATAGTCCAATATGCATTGGATACAAAACATGTTCAATGCAAACAGGCCCATATCACTTAATTAGTGATTTGATAAGTGTCTATAGTTAAACTATTTTCCTTGTAAAAACATCAAATACACTCAAGTATTGCTATAAAGTCGTCTTCCTATTTCGGAGTTTTCTGATTATCGCTGTTTATGTTTTCAATCTTATCTCCTTTTATTAAAGAGCTAACAGGATAGTTATAAACATCTTGAATGTCTAGTATGTAAACGAATAAATTTGGTTAAACATCTTGAATGTCTAGTATGTAACGAGTAAATTTGGTTAAACATCTTGAATGTCTACGGATAAATTTGGTTAAACATCTTGAATGTCTAGTATGTAACGAGTAAATTTGGTTAAACATCTTGAATGTCTAGTATGTAACGGATAAATTTGGTTAAACATCTTGAATGTCTAGTATGTAACGAGTAAATTTGGTTAAACATCTTGAATGTCTAGTATGTAAACGAATATCGTAATATGTAACAGGTAAATTTGGTTTTCTAATACTTGTGTGAAAAATCAAACTACGTTGTTACAAAGTTGTAGCAGTAATGTCGTATAAGCTTTGGTCTAGTTTGCAGTGTCTAGCAAGTTTGTCAATGGATAAAATTTCTTAGAAAAGAAGTCATGAACACATCTGTAACTTGTTCAACTATCTCATTTATAAATTTCTATATATATATATATTATTTTTTTTAAATACCTGAAATACATTCTCCTGATATAGATGGGGCAGGCAGAGAGAGTTCTCCTTTTATTCCTTGTTTCCTAAAAATATTTAGATTTTAAATAAAAATTATCTTGATTAAAAAGGTATAAATGCTTTATATATAGATATTGTATGGGCCCACCGACTGCATCCATAATTATAATATCAAAAGTAAAAAATTACACCTGGAACAGAAAATTGAGTTTTTCTATGATTTTTATGCATTTTACAGGATTTTATAAATTTTATAAATTGTCCTTTACGGTACCACATACTATTATCAAGAATGAATATCCATGTTTTAACTTTGAAAATTAATTGTTTTTAATTGTATATAGTTTTATATAAAAGTGACTTGTGTATTTCAGAAAAGATGGCTGCAATTTTTAAAATTAAAATCTTTTCAAGCTGCAAAGGCGATATCTTCCACATTATTGCTTTAAAAATGATTTGTCGTTTGAATTTACAAGGACTGTCCCTTTAAATGTCCAAACTAAATTGTAAATGATACCTGTGATAAAGAGTTTTAACGATAACTCCTTCCTTGTAACTCTGAACATCCTTCTCCGGGTCTTCATCTTTATTTAACCCGGAGTCATCAGCATCATACGTCTAGGAAACCACAAACTCAAATTTTATAATCCCTATATCTTTGCAACCTGATTGTGTAAACCTATCATATTTAAACTTAGACTATTTGATTTTACATAATTCATAGTTTGTAATATTTAAGTTCTACGGCATCGGGTTGCAGAGGTTAGAGTTTATGAAAAAAACTAATTTCGTTTATGTTCTTGTTTGTTCTATATTTATCTAAATATATTGTTTTGTTCTTATTATTTATTCTATATTCACTTGTTAACATAATATGTATGTGTATGTTTACGTTTATGTTTATTTTGATGTTTAAGTTTATGTTCATGTTTACGTTTATGTTAATGTTTATGTTCATGCTTATGTTCATGTTTATGTCCATGTTAAATGTTAATTGCATATCTTTATTGTTTATATTTATGATCATGATCATGTTTATTCTTCATATTAAAGTTCGTATAAAATGTATTGTAAATGCTCATAACAAAAAATTATTAATATTTATGAATTTTTAAAAAAAATGTCCATTTGTCCAACCTTGACTGCACTGATGGCCTTCTGATATTCCCCCCTAGTCTCCAGTTTAGCCGCCACAGCGTAGAAATCACCAAGGTAGGGAGAGTTCTCCTAAATTCAACATCAAACATAATAAAATATGTTATAAGCTTTATTTGTTGCTTTTAAGCAAAATATGATTTGCTTAAAATATCAATAATCTTTTTCATCATTTATATTGTTTGAAAATTAGTTTTTACGCATTAAAAAAAATTGGAGTATTGGGGGATGAAAAAAAAACTATTTCAAAAGATGTTCTTGGTAGTCATAAAGTATATCATTTCCAACCAACTGTTATCGAAGTAACAGTGAAACAAAATGATTCTCATTTTATTTGCATGTAAGTGTCAAAATATACTTTCAAATATGTCAAAGATATTAAAAATACATTATACAGACCTGATACAGACAGAGGAATTGATGAAAGTAGAGAGGATAAAGATCGCTAGGATTGGAACAGTTCCATGGAGGATGTTTGTCAGCAAACCCTCCTCCATACAATCCTAAATATAGAGAGGATAAAGTTCTACAGTTCCATGTGGGATGCTTGTCTGCTAACCCTCCTCCATACAATCCTATATATAGAGAGGATACATTTCTCTAGAGCTGGAACAGTTCCATGTAGGATGCTTGTCTGCTAACCCTCCTCCATACAATCCTATATATAGAGAGGATACATTTCTCTAGAGCTGGAACAGTTCCATGGAGGATGCTTGTCTGCTAACCCTCCTCCTTGAGTTCAAAACTGTCGATGGAACTCTTTGAATCTCTTTCATTAAAAATTGCCTTCAATGATTCACAAGGACAATGCGTATCCTGTTAATCTATATTTGTGCAACAAAGGCACAAATCTTGCCATTTTCTAGCAAAACTTTGTTAACAGGCTCTCCAATAGACAGAGATTACCTATTTACAAGGAGAATATTTAAACATAAATTGGATAGGCACGGGGTTGAAATTATGAATAAAACGTCCAAAAATATAATTGACAATGTAATTGCCAAAAATATAATTGACAATGTAACTGCCAAAAATATAAATGACAATGTAACTGCCAAAGATATAATTGACTATCTAACTGCCAAAAATATAATTGACTATGCAACTGCCAAAAATATAATTGACAATGTAACTGTCAAAAATATAATTGACTATGTAACTGCCGAAAATATAATTGACAATGTAACCGCCAAAAAAATCATTGACAATTTAACTGCCAAAAATACAATTGACAATGTAACTGCCGAAAATATAATTGACAATGTAATTGCCAAAAATATAATTGACAATGTAACTGCCAAAAATATAATTGACAATGTAACTGCCGAAAATATAATTGACAATGTAATTGCCAAAAATATAATTGACAATTTAACTGCCAAAAATATAATTGACAATGTAACTGCCAAAAATATAATTGACAATGTAACTGCCAAAAATATAATTGACAATGTAACTGCCGAAAATTTAAATGACAATGTAATTGCCAAAAATATAATTGACAATGTAACTGCCGAAAATATAATTGACAATGTAACTGCCGAAAATATAAATGACAATGTAATTGCCAAAAATATAATTGACAATGTAACTGAAAATATAATTGACAATGTAACTGCCGAAAATATAATTGACAATGTAACTGCCAAAAATATAATTGACTATGTAACTGCCAAAAATGTAATTGACAATAGGGAAAAAAGGATATCGAGATCAAACTTTGTAGATTTCCCTAAAATTAGTTTTGACCTCTGCATCAACGTGGTTCCCAATGTTAAATAAAATACCTGTATAGCAAGTATGGTTTAGTTTCATCTCCTCCGGACAGTCTGTATCACAGCAGCAGTAGGTTTCACAGCTAGAGGATATATCACACGGACACGGTGATATATTCTACCATTATTATTATTATTATTATTATTAGAACCGTCAATGTTCTGCGTTGGTACAATCTGTGTATTTTCCATATAGTGTACATTGACTTTATATCAATGTTTCATGAAAATTGTAAAGTGTTTGCGCAAACTGATTTCTACATAAATTGCCCAAATTATATGCAAACGATTCTTATATTAAAAATTTCTATTCAATCCGCATACCCTCTTATCGTCAATGACTTATTATATGCTTTTAATGTTCTACTACTTCATTGGTGCAATCTTCAATTTTTGTGTTTTGCAGGATCCAAGTATCCTTAATTCCAAATTTTTTATTTAAAAAATGTATGTATTCAACCCTTATACAAATCTCTCAAAAAAACATGTAAACGAATTTGTCGTTAAGCTTTATTATTGAACACATGTAAACTATTTTGTACAATTTAAATAAGAAGACAATAAATATCTAGATCTTAAAAATTATTATTATTATTATTATTATTATTATTATTATTTTTATTATCATTATTATTATTATTATTATTACTATTTCTCTAGAGCTTATTATTATTATTATTATTATTATTATTATTATTATTATTATTATTATTATTATTATTATTATTATTATTATTATTATTATTATNCCCCCCCCGTTTGAAAAAAAAGCGAGAGCGTCGGTTCCATCGTAAATAGTCACTGGAGTTGACTAAACTATTTGTTCTCTCCTTTCCTTTCTTTATATCCATACCAACTAATAATTAATACTGTGGTATTTACAAAAGGTCGTCTTTTCCGGAGAAAGGACGGACAATAGCTTTCCTATAATGATAGATCGTCGGAACTATGAATGTAGTTTAAACAAACGAACATCTTTTAAATCATCAACAATCAACATATCTATGTCGCCTTTTTTATGAGAAATGTCATTTTTTTTAAATTATTGATTGTTGGAAATTTTAGGATGTTCTTTTGTTCTTGTTAACCCAGTTGTTTAGGTAATTCTCAGTCCGATGATATGACATCTTTCATCTTCCTGCCAATGAGAGCACTGTATTCTAGAGGCTGCTCTCTGATTGGTTAAATATTTGTTGATATATACAATCATGTGATTCTAATCAGCTGTGTCTGACTAGTCAGATAAACTCCCCAAAACACCGAAGTTCTTTTCATTTGATCATTCTTTATTTGTCCTACAGTCTATAGCCTTCAACGATTATTAAAAAGGATTTTTTAGTTTTAGCATGTTTATAATATAAATATTTAATTAATAAAGATTTATAAATGCATAAACTAGCTAGCTTAGCTATTTAGATATAATTAATATAATAACGATAATATCTTTTTTGTTTGATCTTTTCAATTTTATTTTATTCCAGAAAATATGGCTAGTCAGACCCAGGGTATCCAGCAACTGCTGATTGCAGAGAAGAGAGCTGCAGAAAAGGTTTTTATTTCTCTTCTTAAAATTGTACATCTTGAAGAATTTTAACTAAACGTTGTCTAATTGCATAGTTTCTTTCGGTTTAGTCCTAGTATAAGATTCTTGAACCCCTTATTTTTATTATCATTATTATTATTATTATTATTACTGTTATTATAACCTTGAACTGTGGATATAAGTACTCTGTCTCCTCCATCAACTGAACACAGATCAGCTGGGTCAAGGAGACCAATACAAGAAGAAGAAAACAGGACGCCATATTTGTTTTAGTTTCTCTTTAATCTTACTTTGATTTGATCCACAATCTTATATCTCACAATGTTTGTTAGAATTTCCCATTAACACAATTAACAAAGTTTTCAGTTCACTTTTCTGGAAAAAACTGCAATTAATTGATTTTGAGATTCTAGTGTTTTCTGAAGTATCATCTAATCGTCATCTAATGTTAAAACATCTGCGGTCTCTTCGGACCCTATGGTATCAGTGAACCCAGCCTAAAAATAAAATAAATATTGATGAAGATTCATTTAATTTGATATCATTACTTTTTATAGACATTTCATATGTTTTCATTAACATATAACATGTTTGTTTGAGGGGGCAGAGAGGGAATAAAAAATTCAATCTTCTATTCAGAGTTATGCTTTCAAATATTTTAAATGATGGTAACAAAAGGTTGGTATAAACCTTTATTGGCTCCCCACCTTCCAATTTAAAAAAAAAACTTTGCATGATCCTTTGCTGTCATAGCTCACCTGTTTCTCTTTCTCAATCTCTTCTTGCATTTCCTTCGCCTTCTCGTTCGCCTCCTTCTGCATCCTTTCCATCTTCTCCAGGGTCATAGACTTCAGGGGCAGAAGCTTTGGCTTGAACATAGAAATATTAACTTAATGGTCCATTGGAAACCCCCCCCTTTCCATTTCCAGCTTCCTTGGGTTTTTCATGGAAACTTTAAAACACTTGGGGATAATTACACAAGGGGGGGGGCTCAACCCCTGGATCAGTAAGATTTAAGGTTTCCAGGGGGGTTTAAGGCCCCAACGAGTGCTGAGCCGAAAGTAATTAGGACAGGGGGCTATTGAGGTTCAGGGGGTTTTCAGCATCCAACCATCCTCCTGGAAAAAAGATTTAGCCCCCCCTCTGGACAAATTTCTGAAAACGCCCCTGGCTGAGCCCCCTTAAAGACTAAAAAATAAAGCCCCCCATGGACAAATTCCTATGTATGCCAATGACTCAATCCTATATTATATTCTTACCTTGCAGAGAACTAGTTGAGGATTACTTTCTTGATAAACTAATCCACGTTTTGGTAGAACAGGGTTTACTAGTTCAGGAAATCTATTCTTGTCTTCACTCATTCTATAGATTTTAATACATATTTCTTAAAATATATAGGTGTCACAATGAAGTTATATTCAAAACCTTTGAGATATATGAGTTATTTACTATAAAAAAATAACTAAATAATTTTGATTCTTTCGGTTGAATCTCCTTTTCAAGTTTAACAATTCATGATGATTTTAACGATTGTTGAGTCCTCGTTTTTTCCTTATCATGCAGTTGTAAATTTTGGAACTTTACTTTCAAAGGGGTGCAGTCGCACCCCTGCCCCCCCCCCCC